TGGAATCACATTCTCCTTTAGTCAATATCAAAATGAGGATATTTATCTTGGACAGATGAGAGCTCCATGGACAGACAGTATATTTCCAACTTTCATCTTCTTACATTTGTCTATAGCCTAGTCTTACTCGATCCTTTTCCGACAATTTGCACCTTTAACACATTCTCATCTGAGTTTTCAAGAAAACCTGCAATGATCATGCTATCCTGCTAATTCAATCGGCCGAATATGGCCAACAAGCTAACCACCACCACTAATTTCATCTGATATTCTGCTGTTATGTAGGCCTAATACTTACTCGCAACATTCTTGTCATGACGAGCCATGCTAGATGTGTATAAGAGACAGTTTACGCCCGTACCTGACCTGTTGCACTTTTTTTTACTCAATTCTTAGGTTTAGCCTAGGCCTAGCCTAAACAGTACAGTATACGAACAGAAACACTGCCACTGCACTGACTGACGAACTGACTGAACTAACCTTGATACTTAGCTACAAAATTATATCTAGGCCTAGGCTAGAATAAGTAACTAGGCGTAATGTGGAAGGCGTACATTAATGGACGAAGGGATATTAATATGTTTTCTTTACTTACCACAATACTGACAGTGACTGTGCATAGGCCTAGCTAGAGACCTTGGCATGTTGCAGACTCTACTTTTTTTCCAAATGGCAACAGAATAGGCCTAGCGGCTATCCTAGGCTAGGTTGAGTTTCAACGGAAGAACGTCCATTTAACTAGTACATAGACATTGCAACAGGTATTAACCATTTCAATAAAATATCAGTTTGCGATTATTACCCCAATTATTACTGAACAAAAGGAGGACATCACAACAACAAAGGGTGCAGCAAGCGAGAGAGATGTCGATGAAGACCGTTCCGTTAGCTTTCAAATTTTACCACCCAGTTGAGGAATGTACCATGTTTAATAGGGGCGGGGAAACCATTTAAGACCAGTTGAGTTATAATTCTTATTAAATGCATTTAATATATAAAACCTTCTGTAATTAATCATTTGTTTTGTGTAGGAAAGTATATATAATATAGCATTTCATACAATAAATAATTTACTAAATCGTGCATCTCAACTCATAAATTGGACCCCTATCACGGCCTGATCCATTGTCTGGTTATTGAAAACAATGTCTCTCTCCCATCTGGAATGATGATTAAAGTAGTTAGGTTTTAAGTTACACTAACAGTAACTTTAAAATGGTCACCATAATGGTGGTTTGTGGTTAATGATTTTGTAAGATTAATTAAGTATTTGTTACAAATATGTGCATTAAATTCATTTTTCATTTCAATTTTAAAATGTGGTGTAAGGCTAAGTATTTGCAGCTGTTTTTAACATTTAATTAAATGTTTAATTTAATGTATAATTTAACTTAAATGTTTAAATTAAATGCTTAATTTAATGTTTTTAACATTTTAACTTAAAATGTGAGCATGCTAATTGATACTGTAAATTATGCATCTGTTATACATTTCCAAACAGATATTCTATAGAATTCCTATACAACTTCTAAAGCAAATGTTATAGATGTCTATAGAATTTTCTATAGAATTTCTATACAGCTTCTAAAGAGAATGTTATAGATTTCTATAAAATTTTTCCAGAAATATGAAGCATAATTATTTGCGACAAAATGATACACATATTAAACTCTGTGCATTATTTAGTTACTCAACATCAGACCATGAGCCAAAAGCAATAGTTTTATTTATTATTTTTATTATTATTATTATTTAATAATCATGTTTCATATTCAAAACCAAGCTTCTGCAATAACACATTTATTGAAAATCCACTGTAGGTTACCAATACATAAATTGTGCAACAAACTAATTTTCTTTAGAGTGGAATACAACATTTTATAGAAAATATTAAAATTCTATAGAATGCGTAAACTCTATAAAACATTTCTATAGAATTTTTTTGCCTCTATAGAGTTACATAGAACTCTATATAAAGTTCTATAGAATTCTATAGAGCTCTATAGAACTTTTTTGTATGGGTTATTACCATACCATGGTCTGTAGAGTGAGTGGGTAGCTTGGAGCTAGTGGGCAGGGACTTTAAGTTGGGATGTTGTCGTCTGGCAAGTACGAGGTTGGCAGAAAATGGGTGTTATTGATGGGGCCTTAAGACAGTGATTTGTAGTCTTGTTTGGTAGCGTTGGTGAGAGAGTGGGTTTTGGTGCTGTGATCTAGTATGCGAGGTACCCGTTGATTGTTGTTTGTCCTTATATATGAGAAGCTCTCCTCGTGATTTGATTGAAGCTTTATTAATGACCTTCTTGATAACGCGTAGAGGATATTGGCAATTTAAGAAGTGTGACGTCAAAAATGAAATCTGATGCTCGTAATCGGAGTGATCCGAGCATATTCGCTTGAGCCTAAGGCATTGGCTATGATGGATGCTTTAAAGGGTGACAACTATTGAAGTCCAGGTATATGTGATTGTAGAGTATATGGAAGTAGATATGACACCATTATTCAGTGCTATGGATGTGTCGAGGAATGCAATCTGCTTGTTTGAGTGTTCCAGCGTGAATTGGATGCTAGGGTGCGTGCGTTTGGAATTCTTTTAAAGCTTCAAGTCCATGTTCCAAATGAAAAATACATCATCTATATACCTAGAGTAGAATGTCGATTTTAAGTGATGGCTGGATATGATCTTTTGTTCCAAATCTGCCATGAGGATGTTAGCATATAGCTGGGTGCCATCTTCGTTCCCATAGCCATTCCTTTAGTTTGTATGTAGTGCTGACCATTAAAATGTGAAGTTGTGTTTTAAAACAGAGTAGAATGTCGGTTTTAAGTGATGGCTGGATATGATTTTTAGTTCCAAATCTGCCATGAAGATGTTAGCATATAGCTGGGTGCCATCTTCGTTCCCATAGCCGTTCCTTTAGTTTGTATGTAGTGCTGACCATTAAAATGTGAAGTTGTGTTTTAAAATAAAGTTAATAATTTAGAGCAGATATTCATTGAGTTCTGCGTTGGGTTGTGCGTGTCGAGAAATTGAGCATAGGCGGCTATACCGTCAACATGTGGTATGTTAGCATATAGTGTTGTGACGTCCATTGTCACAAACAGCGCATCGTTTAGAAGCCGTTTGACGCCGTTTATCTTTTGTAGAAAGTGTGTCGAATCCAGTATGTGACTGGGAATATTAAAGAGTAGTGGGTTGAGGTGCTCGATTATGATCAACAGATAAAAGCAAATTTTGAAGAAAAAATTAAAAAACTCAAAAATAAAGCTGAACCTATGGAAAATCACAAATTTGACTCTGGCTAGGAAAATCTTATTGATTAAATCGTATGGCATTTCAAATTTTATCCATCTTGCAAGTATTTTCGTTCCAGATAATGTTATAAATGAAGTGGATACAATTATTTATTACTTTCTATAGAGGGGAGGGAAAGGGATGGTAAAGAGAAACACGATCATTGGAACAGTTGAAGAGGTGGGGGGGGGGGGTTCAACATGATTGATGTTAAATCACTTTTTAAGGCTTTAAAAGTTAAATGGGTACAACGATACAACTGAGATAGTTCCGCTGCTTGGGAGGTTTTATTTACAGCTTTTACGGTTAAGTGGGGTAGTGAAGTCATATTTAATTACAATCTTGATAAAAGATATGTTAATTCATTACAATGTGTTCCACTATTTTATAAAGAAATTTTTAATACTTATATAGAATTGACTAAGCCAGAAGAGATGGATGTTTATTCACAAATTGTGTGGAATAATATATTTGTTAAAATAAATGGTAGAACAATTTTTGATAAATATCTTTTTAAAAATTGTATTAGACTTGTCAGCGATCTGTATAAAATAGATGGTAACATAAAACTTTTTCAAGCATTTTCTATATCAAATAATTATTATCTGAGGATGATGAGTATCATAAATGCTATTCCTAAAAATTGGAAAGAAATTCTGAAACAAGGTTTTGTTAGAGATTTGTGTCGGAAAAGAACACTGTTCATACATGCTGACCAAATAGATATACAAAATGCACATACAACATTCATTTATAGACTATTTGTTAATCGAAAGGTAGAACCTACAAGAACAAGAAATCAATTTAATACGGAATTTGGTATAGATGATGACTTGTGGCCAAGTATTTACGTTTTGTCCTTCCAGTGCACACGAGTAGTTAGATTACATATTTCAATATTAAATCTTAACAAATTGTTTAATGACTAATTATAAGTTATTTCAAATGAATATTATTGAGTCGAATCTTTGTTCCTATGGAAATTGAAACTATGAAACATTTATTATGGGAATGCAATCCTATAAATTATATGTGGGATACTTTTAAATTCTGGTGGGAAGCTCTAACAGGGACAATTATTACTTTTAATTTTAAAACCATCATACTGGGACATAATGTTAAAAATCCGGATATACTACTGAATCTATGCATTTTAATTATTAAATCATTAATTTTTGCCTGTAGGAAAAGACCGTACTCGTTAAATTTTGGTTTATTCCTTAAAACTCTCCAATTTCATTTTATTATGGAACAACAGTGCATTAGAAACAGAGAGTCGGCTCAAATGAAATTCAGAACAAAATGGAAGTTCTTGCAGGAGATATTTGTACTGTTATAAAAATCATATTTATTCTGACTTCTTTATCAATGCTAATTGACTGGAGACTGTTACACTAATTTAGAGCCTATTAATAGTATTATTATTATTATTATTATTATTATTATTATTATTATTATTATTATTATTATCATTATTTTTACCATTACTATTAATATTATGATTCTTATTAACTCTTCTGTAAGAAAAACGATTTTACAATATATCGGTGATTATTACGTTATGTTACTGTTTTATTGCTGACTTTTTTACTGTACTGTAAATGTTTTTTTTTTGTTGAAATTATTCGAAATAAAAAAAAAATACTCAAAATAAAAAAAAAATGGGTAATTGTCTGTAAAATTCTTGGTCGGACAATTGTCATTCGGCTTCCGTAATGTAATCATGGGTATTCAGGATAGTAACCGCACTTCCTTTATCTGCTGGTTTAATAACAATGTTAGGATTCTGCCTGAGTTGTTTGATACATGATCTTTCATCCGTAGTGAGATTATCTGCTAGAGTTTAATGACATGTTTATTACATGTTTCTGAATGAAAACGTCCAAATTAGCCTTAGCTGAATTAACAAAACTGTCTATATGAGCATTCCTATTGTTAGATTGCGTCCGCAGTTGATAGGTGTTAGTATTGGTTGTTCTCCTGAGTTGAGGTATCCCAGAAAGGGGGTGGGAGGCCTGGCGCCATCCCTGTTTCTTACTATTGAAACTGCAATACAATTTTCGGAACTTTGTATACAACTTTACCATTATCCTAAATTGTAAGGCTGTTGTATTTATTGCATAGAGCTTAGTATTCTTATTCTCTAAATTTATCTTACTGTAGAGGCTTGTAAGTTACTGAACTTTTAACATTGTTTAACTCGCAACTTTTGTATACTTTTGCATTAGCTGATAAGTTAATAACATGATCAAAGTTAGCAATGCTGTCTGCTTCATCACGCTCAATACTAAGGTGCCAAAGCAGATAGTCTCGCGTTTCCAATCGTGGATCTGAGATATGGCAGGATGAACTTTAGTCATTTAGACATTACAGAATAGGATAAAAAAAAACAAGAGAAAACAGTCGAAATGGAATGAAAAGAAATCACAATCTTTATATTTGCTAATAAAAACAACGATATTCAGATTATTGCCTGACGACATACATTAATGCTTATTTGTTTACTCTCATTCTCCCATTCCATCCCCCCCACAAGCCTGGCGCCCGGGCCTTGTGCCTTCCCCCTTCAACCCCTAGCTACGTCACTGATTCAATTCAATTCAATAATAGCGATAGCAATAACGCAATAAAGATATCGATGTCAAATTAATTTTGTAATAGAGACAATTAAAAATACTAAGTCATAAACCATTAAATGTGTCTAGTAGACAGTAAATGTTACTGGTGGCTACTGCATTTTTGTAATTTTATTGTAATTCTGTTTTAACACCATTAGTCTCCAATTCAATTTTATATTGCTATTGACTTTTGCTTTGTGAATTTTTGTACCTGTTCGCCTTTTTGTGATTTGAATTTGAATAAAATAAACCTGAATAAATGTATTATGAACACGAAACACACCAAAAAGGTAATCCTATAGTCCTTACGAGTTAAAAAATAAACATCACTTTGTGTTATTATATTCTCGAGTATAACAGCAAATAACTCCAAATGATAAAGAACATATAATTAGCTTACCATGTTCACAGTTATCTCCTTTAAAGCCTGGAGGACAGATGCACGATCCTAGGTTAACAGAACACACGCCTCCATTATAACATACGGGGCAATCTTGTTCGCAATTAGGAAGCCACCACTTTTCACGAGAACACTCTGTCATAAAGCAAAATTCCAAGCACAAATATTAAAATATATCTTTATTTGAAACCCCATCATACACACATCAGCGGTAGTGCCAGAAATCTGCCGACAACAGGTCCAACATGTCCGACGGAGTGGTTCAATCTAAGGAATAAATAAATCACAGCAGGGCTTTTCTGGCCTAGAATGGCCTAAAATGTGCTTTTAGACCACAATATTACTGACAATTAAAATACCGTTTGTATAGTTGCATTGTCGTTGTTTTTAATGTTTGATCCAATGTCCTATCATGAGTCCGGTGGCAAAGAGGGGTCAGGGCCTGTCCTACGGGACGCGATTTTTTTTATCGTAGGTAAGTTGAGCAAAAATTCATGAATTATTCGTTAGCGTGTCTAAAGGCATTACTAGCGCATGCGCAATCTTGTTCGTACTGTATTTTGCTGCAGTCTCCGGACTGGAACTAAAACAAAGATAAAAACCAGAGGTGACGGAACTAGGGGGTGCTGTGTTATATGGAGAGAGTAATGTGTGACGGAAATGGTCTGCAGTCAGTTGGCTGTTACCATGCGCCAGTGATGTTGGAGTCACAGTACAGCAAGATGAATCTATTAGGCCTAATGCATGAATAAAGTTCGGGGTTTGTCGGGCAGTGAAATGATTATTATACATTTTAAGTGCTCCCTAAATGCATAAGTGTAAGCTAAATTACGGTGATTAATTTGATTAACGAAGATTTGGAGACAATTATTTCGAAGTTCCCTTTTTCCAAGAGGGGATGCTTTGTGAAAATTAGTACGCTGCGGTACTAATTTTCACAAAGAAACACACACAACTGGTTAGCTAACGATATGCCAATGTAATTACACCTGGGAAGGAATGTGCAATCACGTCCTGTTGCCTAGCAAACGTCTGTACTGTATGGGGGGACACATCTAGAGGGCGCTACTGATGTGCTGCGTTGAGGCATAACATGAGGCATAACAATAAGACAAGGCCTAGGCCCAGGCCTTACTAGGCAGTGCAATTATATGTGATAGAAAGTACACTTTCGAAAGAAATAAATTAAAATAAGAAAAAAAAAAAATTAAAAAATTAACTTAGAGTAATTCAGTTGCAGAGGTACCTTGTTTAAGTATTATACAATGCTAACAATGCGGCTCTTGTAGCCCTAGCTAGGCAAGGCATCCATGTGCAAAGCAGTGGTGTTTGTTTATCCATGAAAAAAGCACGCCGGGAAAGTTTGCCTTACCAGGAAAAGGTGACTTAATCTAGCATATGACGTATGCACGCTAAATATATTTTGAGTGTGACGTCACCAAAAAATGAATATTTTTTTATTATAAACAAAATATTATTAACTACAATGTTTTTGGGCGTAAATTCCCTTAAAACGAATTAAGGGTTGCACAATCTCTTTGCCATACAAATTACAGCTCCCACTGACGTCTCAGTCGAGAAATACGAATAGCTGAAGTTTTTCTTCGAAAATCTGACTACGAAACCATATCGCAATTTCACGTACCACTTTTGAACCCGAGTTGTGCTTCGCACTCGCCGCTGAGGGCGGCGTTCCGGGAACCCTACGTCAAGCTTGTGATAACTACATAAATGTAATCTTCCTTTGTTGTGCCTCAGTGAAGAGCTGGGTTTATATAAACAGATACACCGCTGAAAGGAAAGACGCTTACACTGCATTGCATAATATTGTCATTTAATCAATGACGAAAAGTAAAGTTTAGAAATAATCTACCCCGTGAAATAATAGGTCAGCACTCTCGACTAACATAAAATCAACTAAAATGAATAATTTATATATTTTTGCTCAACTTACCTACGATCAACAAATTCACCTACGGAAGATGCACCAACCCCGCTGGCACCACCACTGATACACATACACACACACACACAAATAGTTCTTGGCACAATAAAATGAATAGTCAAATATTATATTTCACAATAATAATAATAATAATAATAATATTGTTATTATTATTATTATTATTATTATTATTATTATTATTATTAAACAGAATTATTATAGACACTATTTGTATCAGTAGTAGTTCCAAAAAAAAAAATTATGATAACGATAATGATGATCATAGGCATATGAATTGTAGAACAAAAAATAAAACACCCTACTCCAATTATTTTGATCTAATGCACAGCTATAATATAAATAATTATATGTTTTGTTTTTGCTCTTACCTCGAACAAGTAACCGTAATATAGCGTGTTTACCCATGTGTCGTTGTCCTACCGGGTAGCATTCGTATATACCAGCGTCGTTTTTCCGAACGTTTTCGAGACTCACATTGCTTAACCCTTCCCACTCCTTAATATCAGATCCCCCATCCTTTTTCCATCGTAATCTGCTGGCTTCAACTTTATCTAAAGTCATTACTAGTTCAACAGTTTCACCGATACTAGTTGTAATAGTTCGGTGTTTTGCTTTAACTGTGGCTGCAGGTACAAAAACACAAAAATAGAAAATAATTTTTGGGCACTCATCACTTAAGTTTGGTAAGGCTATTAACCTTTAGTAGCAAATTGCTTAATTGATTAGATTTGCCTTTTATTGTAAATAATCATAAGCTTTGGATATATATATATATATTTTTTTTTTTTTTT